TATAAATTCATCTGGGCCTGGGCATATAGGTTGCTTCCATAGTTTAACTATTGTGTATTGTGCACTTAGCATATTATTTTCAAGGTTCATCCATGTTGTGTAATGGATCAATACTTTAGTTATTTTTATTGCTAGATAAAATTCCATTATATGGATACACCATATATTACTTACTCATTTATCAGTTAATAGACATTTGATTGCTTTCTATTTTTTGCTATTATGAAGAATGTTGCTATGAACATTTACAAGAAGATCATTAAGGTTGCATTTCTCTTGGATAGATACCTAAAAATGAAATTCCTAGAAATTAGTAGAATTGAATGGAATATTGTATCTAACTTCTTTTTTTTTGGTAGCTGGGATCAAACTCAGGTCCTCGCACTTGCGCAGCAGGCAGCAAAACCACTGAGCTAAATCCCCGCCCAATCTAACTTAACAACTGGCAAACTTTTCCAAAGTAGATATATCATTTCATATTCATTTCCATCAGCAATGTGTAGTGGCTCCTATTTTTCTACATCTTCACCATGACTTGTTATTATCTCTCATTTTTATTATAGCTATTCTCTATATGATAAGTATTTTTATTAAGTTTAGGTAGTGGAATGGTTGGCCTGTCAGAGTGTTTGGACATTGTATTATATGATATGTGAATAAAATGAAAGGAGAACTTATTGTCATATTATACATCATTTGTCTTGAATATTGCAAGTCTTCTGATATTATGTAACTGATGAATATGCTATAGCACATATGATTTGAGTTCTTGCAACATGTCAAATTTATATCTTCCTATGTTATTTCTCAGAAAAGATCCTAAAATGTCAAGCCAAGATGTACCTATGTGTGAAGATTCAGTGATCACTGATTTGAGTTTGGCAATACCAGATTTACAAGACCTAATGACTGTGGAATCCTTTGTACAAGAAACTAAAGATATTTCTTTGGAGTTAGAGTCTCTGCTTTCTCAGGACATTGATTCAGTCTTGACTGAAGATAAATCAGATATTCAGTGTGATACTACGATGAACAGGTACATAATCTTTCTTCTCTTAACATATCCTCTACATGTTTTTTGTTTTGTTCCTTGTTTGTTTGTTTGGTACTGGGGATCAAACTCAGCACCTTGGCGTTTGCGAGGCAGGTGGCAGAACCACTGAGCTAAATTCCCGGCCCTGTCCTCTACATGTTTTTGAGGAAAATTTTTATTTTTTATTTTTCATAGTGCAGAAAACACTTTGGATAGAGCTGAGGAAAGTCGGGTATATAACAATAATTTGTAGAATTTTTGAAGAATACCTCTGCCTGCTCTTTCCCTTTCCTTTCTGAAAGCCCAGAAACATTATTTTGAATGGTTATGGGAACTAGAAAATCAAAGTATATAGCTAGTGATCTAATTTTAGCTGAGAAGTACCATAATACTTTGCTCTACTCATTGTTGCACCTCTGAATATTGAATCGAGTCTCTTTTCATTTTGAAACCTTAAGTAATCAGATATTTTCAAGGGAAACACTAAATTATGATAAATACTTCATACTGGCACTTAGTTCTGATAAATGATTTGTGTTTCTGATGAAACTTTGTATATTGATTTTCATGATATATATAGTTCTGAGTTTTGAAAATTACCTGTTTATCCAAAGCACAATATTATGATGGGGGAAGTAATATGCGATTAAGGAAACATGTCCCTTAAACACCTCCACTCCCAACATTATCATTATTTTTCATACACTACAGATGCACTCTTTGGTATTATATTTAGTGTTTCACTATCTGTGGTCTTCTGAAAATGAGAGTCAAACACTGGCAATGTAAAACCCTCCCTTAATCTTAAATCCAAAAATTGTTGTGAAAGTAGGGCAAAATCTTCTGCTTGACACAGAACTGTAAGGAAAAAAGATGTCTTAATTTCCTGAAACTAGGAGATTGTGTGTACTTCAGCAGAAATACTACTAAATTGGAGCCACAGAGGCGCTATCATCAGCAAATCTCTGCCCACAAAAACCTGAGTGACACGTAGAAGAGGAATGACTGCCTAAGTTTCAGCTTCATCAGCAGTGCTTAAATTTGTCTGTTTACATGCTTTATTATCTTATATTTGCATTGCCCGCCCTAGAGAGACAAAGGTCATGTGTGGGCTTGGCAGACATTTTCACATAAACAGCTTCCTGAGAAACACAACTAAAAGGGGGCCCTGTGAGCTTTCAGAATAACCCCAAACTTTAGTGTGGACCTTCAGACTTGAGCCAAAGGGAGCTACTCTAGCCAGTGAACTAATCTTCATCCATTAGGGCACAGGACATTCCTCAGAGCCTTAATTGATCATGGAAGCTCTGTCAGTTAAGATTATTATTCTGAGTTCCTTTAACATTGCCTGAATTGGCCAGCAAAGCCAAGTTCAAGTTCAGCTATATTGACAAAACCACAGTAAAGATCAAAGGCTTTCTATGTTAACAACCTATATGAATTCAGTGGCATTTTGGGCTCTTGAAGTCAGTTTAATAATAGTAGTTGAAATAATGCAACCAGTGCTCCTCAGAGCACCTGGTTTTCTTAGTGAATGTATCACAAAATGAAGTCAGGAGATGCACAATGACATAAACTCAACATATGCAAATTTTTGCTCACTGTCAGCTGATGTATGTCACACTCTCTCAAATCTGTGACTCTCATTTATTGATGAAAATTCAGACTGAATACTGCCCTTATGGAGGAATACAATAATTTTAAAGACTAAATTGGAGTATATAAAATCTCATAAATGGAAGGCTACAGGTCATGAATTACCTAGGTACATTGTTGTGATCCCTTGCATCTCTTCTGATTGGGGACAGTGATTTAGAATCTTTACTTGGCACCAAATGGTGGAAAAACATCCTGTGGACTGAGATTTTCCTGGGTTGAATAGTACTTCCTATTCAGAATTCTCACAGAATAATGTGGATTTTCTTACTTCTTTTCAAGAGCTTTTCAGGTTGAAAACTTTGGTATGTACATTGGAAGTGGGTCACTCTAGATGAATTATAGCCAGTGAATTATGTACCAAAATCTTCTAAACAGCAGTAGGGTTCATAGCCTGGAAGTGAAGTATGTGTAACTGGAAAATGCCATATGATTTATGGTGTTTTGGTAGAAGAACTGCAATAATCTGTGCAGTTCATTATATTTGGGATATTTCCTCAAAGATTATCTTCTGACCGTTAGATTATCTTTTTTCCATCCATCTTCATTCTGCTTGCCAGTAAAGTTTATTAATTTCTCACTCCTTCATTTTTCCTTCAAGGGATGAAATGAACTACATTAGTGGAGATTTGATGGAACTAAAGTCACCTCTGTACAAGAAGAATGTGAATTACAGCTCTGATCATGCCAGTGAGGTAAGCAGATAAATTCATATTTGAGACTTTATTGTATTTATATAGATTATTCCCAAAGAAGAATGATAAATGACAATTAGGTCTGAGATTGAAGAATACTTCTTACTTTTTGTACTTCAGATTGATTTAGTGTATATAGTTTTTATGTCTTGGTTTTCTGAAGCAGAAAATGAAGAAGTTATATCTCCTCCTCCAGAGTAGTGTCACAATTTATGTGATATGTGGTTTTCCACGCTCTAATCACTTAAAAATAAGCAGTATGAAAATATTCCTTTGTGCAGAATTATACTTTGGTAATAGCTTCTTAAGTATCCAAAGTTCTTCTTGTCACATTATCCCTCATTGTTACATAAAATCCCTTTTCCCTATCATAGCAGCAGTTTTAGAATTTAAGTTATTGTATTTAGAGGACCTTGTTTATAATTATTTTTCTTTCTTTTCAGCCAGTCAGTTTTGAACTTCTGAATCTGATGACAAATGAAAATGAAACTTTACTCAATGTGCATGTTATGGCAGAAACAGACGTAAGATAAATTATGTAATTTTCGTTGCTTTGTTACACTATCCAACTTTGAGGTCCTTTACTATATATTTACCAATGAAAATTACCATGATAGTAGATTATTAGCAGGAAAGCTTTTGAGTTAAGTGAGTGAAGGAAGGTGGCTTATGGCATGCCATTTATATCCTGTCATTGCCCTATTAGTGTTTTTTTTTCCTCTGCCAAAATATTTACTATTTACAGAAAAGTCCAGCCTAAATTAGTAAATGTTTTTCAGCATTTTACTGTATTGGTTTGCATACCAGGTACACCAGAGACCCATATAGTGAAGTACAAATTATTTTTTCACACATTTGCAAAGGGTTACTGATAAAAATAATTGAAAATCCAGACACAGTTGTGCACCTGTCATCCCAGCTAACTTAGATGGCTGAGGTAGGGAGATCACTTGAGTCCAGGGATTCACTTTCCTGGGCAAAGTAGTGAAACCCTTTCAAAAAAAATTTTTGGCAAATTCTTTTAAGCAAACTGTCACTTTTCTTGGCAAATGCTTTATTTATAAATTATATAATTTATAGAATCTTCTTTTATTCCTATCAAAAACTAGACTATATGTTCAATTAAATGGACTTTTTAGAGTTAAATACATCATATTACAGTGATATATGCATACCAATGTTTATAGCAACAAAATTCCTAATAGTTAAATCTTAGAAGCTGCCTACATGCCCATCAATAGATGAATTGATAAAGAAAGTATGGTATTTACCCACAATGGAGTACTCTTGTACCACAAAGAAAGGTAAATGTGTGTCATTTGTCAGAAAATGGATGTACCTTGAGACTGTAATGTTAAGTGAAGTAAATCAGGAACACAAACTTAAATATGTCATAGTTTCTTTTATATGAGAAATTCAAATTATAAATAAAGAATAAAATAAGAGGTAAATAATAAGAAGTAGGAAGCTAGATCTTTCTCAAATGGGAAAAGGATCAAGAGATGGAGGGAGGAGGTAAGGAAAGGTGATGAAAAAAATAATTGAGATGTGTTATATAAGTGTATCAACTTCACACAATGAATGTAAATATTATGTTCTGAAAACATGTACTAATTTTAAGAACGTAGTTTTTAATGTCATGTACTATATTGAATAACATAACCTTTTTGAGATCTTGCCTCTTGTAGCCAAGGTCAATACTCTAAATACTTTAAATACTCTATGGAGAGGATTTAAGAGAATATTTTAAGAAACTTGTCAGACAGAAAAAAATATGACTGTATTAACAGTAGCATTAGTACATTACCTATCTGCTTGATTTTCTTAAACATTATGTTATATTTTAGGATACCTTTCTCTGTAATTTATGCTATAAGTTTGTGGCCATGGGTGACATTTTAATGAGAACATCTGTTAAAAGGAATGTCTGTCCATTTTACACTGTGACAAACAAATATCTGAATATTAAATGCACCACTGAATAAAAATTGAACAGGTAACCAGATTTCACCTATATGAAGAAATCATGCATTTTGTCTGTACTGAGTTAGGTGGTAAATGGCTATAATTGTAACCTGAATTTGTAAAAAGACCAGAAAATGGGGCATCTGCTTCTTGTATTTTAAATAACAATCTCTTTATTAAGCTCTTCTTCAGCTTCCTGTGAATATCAAGAAAACAGTGCTTAGCAGATAATTTCCCATAATAGTATACTTACAGGTCCCTTTCTCTATGCTTATTGTAAAGTGTAATAGTTGTTATTTTAAGACAAAATGCAAAACCCTTCTATTTTCCCATACCTCCTTTCTCCAACTAGGGAAGATCTCCAGATGGAGCCATTTACTTTTTCGTCATTGATGAATAAGTAATGGAGCTAGATCCTGAGGGAATCCATACTTTTTATATTGTTTAGCCAAGATGACTACAAGGAAGTGTTCTTTTCTTTCTCCCAGACATACTAGGAATGTTAGATAAGTCCTATCATTCAGGTTCAAATACTTAGTTTCAAGCCTAATATTTATTATATTTACTTCTGTCTTGCAGGAAATATTGTCCAATATTAGCTCAAACTAAATGACAACTAGACCTACATTGTACAGTTGGCTCTCATTGCATTATGAATTGATTTTCCTTCTGTCTAAAAAGCAGTGAGTAAAGAAAATTACAACTATTAGAAAACAAAATAAATGGAAACATTTCTTCCTCAATTTCATTAATCTCTCAAGGGATAAGCTTATTTTCTAGATCTAGGATTGAACACAGCACCTTACACTTGCTAACCACACACCCTCACCTTCAGTCCTAAGAGACAGGCTTTTTACCCCATGTATATACCTTCATCTCTTCCTATCTAAGAGTGTTCTTTCTTCCTATCTAGAATCTAAGTTTAATGAAAAATCAAGAAGGAGAAATAAGTCTACTTGATGCCAGTGGAAAAGAAGGTATAAGAGAATATTTGTAGAGGAATTAGAAAATTTTATGCCTTAGTCACAGCCCATAATTACTATCTATAGATGACCTTGGCAAATAGTTTAGCCTCTTTGAACCCAAGTTTATTCTTGTACAAACTAAGAATAATTCTCTTTCTTGCTTCATAAATTCCTTTGAATATTAAATCAGATAACATATATGAAAGAGCCCTGATAACCACCAAATAAACTTAAGGGAGACTATATTATGATGTCTCTGGTTTTAAGACAAAAATTATAATAAAAAAACACTCAAAGGGATTTGCTGTGATGAGTTTGGTTTTTTCCAAAGAAAGTCTTTCTTAGAAAGTAGGTCCTTTGTTGTTTACTAAACTTAGTCCTCGATAATTAGACTTAGATTTTAGGGGAAGTTTATTCTGAAATATTTATATTCTAGTTGTTAGTGCTATTCCTAAATGCAAGACAGATTTTGATGTAATTACATGATATTATTTTCCTATAGAGAGATTATTCTAAAAAGATTGAAATAAGTGTAGTAGGAAAGTCTGATATTAGCTTCTAAGTGGTAAGAGCATATTAGTCATGGTTAAGATGCCCCTCCAGTAGCAGATTTGGATAGTGTGACTAAGAACTCTTGGAGAATAACCCTCATTCTGTTCTGGGATGCATTTAACAGCATAAGACATGTAAATTATACTTTCTCTTAACCCATCTCCCACATTATATATAACAAAGCACTATCTTTCTACAGGCAAGCAGGTGGTACAATACAAGAAAAAAATCTCTAAATCTCTCTTTCCTCACTAGGTGAGATGCTGATGAATGACTTTGGAGGACTTCAAGATTCTAGTGACCTCTATTTGGATGATCTGAAGAACTCATCAAATGTCTTACCAAATTTATGTGACCATGATTATATATCCGTGAATATTCCTTCTCAACAATATGTTGCAAATCCTACTGAAAACGTTATGCCCTACTTATGCATGGAAACCAGTGGAGAGTGCAAGCTATTCCCCTTCCTCTTGCCTAACTCTGGTACCAATTTTGTTGAAGAAGCCACTAAAATTGACCCTTCTACTTGAATTTAGTTTGAGCTCCCTTCAGTCTAACTTTCTGATAGAAAACAGATAGGAAGTCCTAACTTTGTCTAGTATATTTCTCTTTATTGCTCAATATCTGTAACTTAAAAATGGGTTAAAATTTTTGTCCTGTCGTACTTAAGCAAAATATCATAGCTGGGATGAAATTCAAACCACACAAAAAGAATAAAAAATGCATCAAAGTTAGAAGTTAATGAAAAGCCTTTTTTTATTGTTTTAGAGCAACATTCTTCCTATACATTTTGTCCAGAATAGAAATTTTTGTTAAATAACACAAAGTACAGTAGTCTTCTAAATAAATAGAAAATCTGTGTAGCTAGTTTCTGCTTATAGGAAAAAAATGTGTCATCCGAGGGTTTCTTGAGATAGATCTGGTTTTGAAAAACAAGATTATTTGTTAATTCTGAAAAAGTTGGCTCTAAAGTTTTCCTGGATTATACATCTACATTTATTTTATAATTTATTTTTTTCTGTTAGTTTTATTAACTATATAATTTTTAATTCCTAAAGTAAATATAATTTTTCACATAAAATGAAATTTTCTACACCAATCACTATAAAAACTCTAAGAGATGCTCTATTCAAGTTCTTCTCCCAAACATAAAGAAACCTAAGAACAAATTACTTATTAGAAATTAAGATGGCATATTACAGCCAACCATTTTTTAAAACTGTATCTCCCATCACTGCATCCATCTCTGCAGTTGCTTCAAGTTCACTGTGGCATGTATGTAATTATTTTATAATTAATTATGCTTCAGAAATATTATGTTTTTAATCAACTTGGAACAGTGGGTTTTTAAACTTTTCCTACTGCAACATTCACATTTGCCCAGCCAGAGAGCACCACCACACTTAAACTCTAGATCATCTGTTCAGTAGAGGAAACATTATAAAATGTGCAAGATTTTTGGTTTTCAGAATGAATACAGACACTTCAAGATAAATTCTTTAAGAGATAAATTTGTGCCACTTTTCTACTCTTTTATTCCCTTCCACTAAACTCCATCTACAAATTTACTCATTTTATGCTTCTTTTATTTCACAAAGTTTCACATGTACTTCAGTGAATTCATCATCAAAGGAAAGGAAGAATTTTGTCATTGGTTTCAGTCATTACATCTTAAACAGAGTATGTTCACTTAACTATGATGGATTAGGGCCAGGGATTTAGCTTAGTGGTTTCGTTGCCTGCTGCGCAAGCACAAGGACTCGAGTTCGATCCCTGGTAACAAAAAAAAAAAAAAAAAAAAAAAAAAACTATGATGGTTTATACATTTAAAATTCTTAAGCAAGTCCAGTCTTGATTTTATTGAGAATTGAGCATTTATATCTGGGAATGAGCCTAATATAGTTGAAAAATTGAAAAAATTTTGTTGTCATTATGTTATTTCACATGTTACATAAAGTTAAAGAACTTTGCATGCATTTCATAGTGTCTTCTTTGGGGGAGAGGGTGCTTTATGACAAAAGAGAATACAACTTCCAGACTGCATGTGCAGATAGGTATGAAAATCTATCTAGATTCATATGAATTTATGTTTGCGCCATTTGACCCCTTCAAAAAATCTCCTAGACTGAGTTCTCTCTAATTCTATGACTCTATGCAAGGTAAAAAACATCACAACGCCATATGTGTTACAGAGCAGCATGAGCAAAAGTGAATTGACTTGATAGGTGGTTCTGTGATAACTAGAGATATACACTTCCAGCTTAATCCTTACAGACTGTTAAGAGTTCTAAAGAAATATCATAAAGAAAATTAGAGATGAGACTAACATAGGTGGATCCAGGGTTACAAAAAGGAATGAATAGGTAGGTGTGTGCAGGTCCCAGTAGTGCACACCTGTAATCCCAGCTCCTTGGGGCTGAGGCAAAAGGATGGCAAGTTGAAGGCCAGCTTGATCAATTTAGATTGAAGAATTTTAAAAGTCTAACATTTGTGAGCCTGTCAAATATATTGTTTTCCCAGGGCCCATAGCCTATACTAAATGAGTAACAAAATAGTGAACATAGTGTGCTACTACATTCAAACAAAAGACCAACTCACCTAGGAGACTTAATGTTTAACAAGTGAATACTGAGCCTGTGCTTTTCTTTGATTTGCTAAAAGTTTTTTCTAAACTCATTACCACATTGCTTTAGAAAGCCTATACAAGAAAAAGAATCACTATGCTAAATAGTATGGCTATCACAATGTGATTTTGGTAAAGTGTCCTGGTGCCTGATCACTAAGTAAGTTCTAAGAATATGGGTTTCGATTTTTGAAAGTGTCATGGTTCCTTCTTCTCAGCCAGACAAGTACCCAACTGCTTTCATTGGCATTCTTATCAGGTATATGTCTGAGAAAAGGTGAAATGTTCCTTTAGGCAAAAATTTGGTTACATAAAGGGCTGTAGCTTCCCCTAAATTAGAAACATTATATGAATTCTGAAATATATAATGAAATCTATTTTAATATCAACTTTCTTAATGAAGGCTTAGAAGCTACTAACAGCTGCCCCTAGAATTCCAAATTATGAAAAGTTTCCTCTAATACAATGAAAACTTTTCAAATGGCTTAGCTCATTTATTTGGCCTGTGCTTGGCATTGTCCTTCAAAAATGATTATTGGTAAATTCAATTTTAGCACAATGGATAAAGAGCTCCATTCCTTTTTCTTTAGTACCTTTTCAAGACACAAGATCTTAAGTAAAGTTTTCTTAAATATTTGACTTTTGTGCCATTGCCAAAAACAGAGTAGAATGAACAAAGTATTAAAACTCATCAATTAAGATGATAAATTACCTTTTTTATTGCTCTGAATCCTTTTATTTAACAATATGGACAGCCTGTTTTGTTCCAAGAACTGGAGATAAAGAAATGAATAAGACAAGATCCTAGCCATTGTGGTTCCTACTCTTTTAGTGGAGTCAAATTAATCATACAACTATGAAATTTTGCTGAGATCAAAGAGGAAAACTGGGAAAGGAGATTTATTTTGTTTGCTTGTTTATTATCTATTCTTCTTAACCAAATTAGAAGTTACAAGAGCAGAAATTTTGACTTGTTTTCTCCTTTATTATCAATGCCTAGAATATAGTGCCTCAATATATGTTTGTTGAATGACCAATTAGGTATATGATCAATCAAAATATCTGCTAAGTAAAAAAAAAAAAAAAACATTTCATAGTGCTTAGGCAGAACTTCAGAATTTTGGGACAAAGGATTACCTTTTCATCCAATGGAATTTCTGAGGTGATACTCAGTTTGGCTCATTCCATTTAGAACCAAGAAATATGCCTGAGCCAAGTGCTTGAATTATAGCAAGAGGCCATTCCACTTCCTTTGGAGAGTCTGAACTTACCCTGATTCATTTTGGAAGCCATTCACAAACTAGCTAGAGAGGTATAACAAATTTTTTCATAAAGGCACAGAAACGTGAGCATGTAATACTCATGTTTATTATTTAGAATATTTCTATTGATGAATTATTAATTTTAATTTTATGAGTTTTATTATATGAAACAATGGTTACTTAACAGAAAAAAATTTAAAAATAAAATATTGAATTTTTTTTTTGTACCCGGGATCAAAGTCAGGACCTTGTGCTTGAGAGGCAGGCAGCAGCACCACTGAGCTAAGTCTACGGCCCTGAAATTTTAATATTTATTGAATTTTCAACATCAACTGTTTTTTGGTGTACAAAGTTCAAAAAGTAATAACAAATAAATTTCTATATGAACTACAATGAAAATGCCAATAGCACTTTACAAAAAAAGTCTTTAATTATTACACCTAAGGCAGTCTTCACACTTAGCAATAGCACATTCCATACACATGTATCGCTCACACTCACAGCACATGTGCTTTGCCTTCTTGGCCTTTTTTGTAGAACATACTTGAAATCTTGCTGGTCTTGCTGTTTCATCGGGAGATTACTATATTACACAATGTCTAGTTAACAGGAACATAAACTATCAAAATAAAGTATAAAATTCTTAACATGCATTGAACATTTAGAATAAAAGTCAACATTTTCATATCACCTGTGTACTTACTTACAGAACCTAAAATATAACATCAGAAGTAAATTCCTACATGAACTACAATGAAAACATCAATATAACTCTACAACAAAAATAATTTTTGCTTCAATTGTCACACCCAAGGCAATCCTCACACACAACAACTTCATGTTCCATGCACACATCTTGCTTACACTGATAGCACATGGGCTTATCTTTCCTTTAGTATGTGGCAGGACATTCTTGTGACCTCTCTTCCTACTTTGTCAGGATCTTCCTACTATATTGTACAATGTGCACTTAGCAGGAAAATAACATAAATAAAATAAAATATCAAATATGTAATGAGTGCTTAGAACAGACATCACCATTTTCACATCAGCTGTATCCTTGCTTATAAAACCTAAGAGGTAACATCAGAAATAAACCTATGTGTAAAAAAAAAGGAAGAAAGAAAGAAACCTATGTGAACTACAATGTAAATACAAACAAAAGTCTACCACAGAAATAATATTTGTTTCAACTGTCACACTCAAGGCAGTCTTCACATATGAAAACTTCATGCCCCATACACAAGTATCGCTTACACTGATAGGACATATGTTTTGTTTTCCTGTACTTTCTTGTAGGGCACAGTTGGCATCTTTTTGGTTTTCCGGTTGTCATAGTAGGTCTTTATGATGTTGTGCCTGCTTGTTTACCGGTTAGCTCACCAGTGTGCTCCACAATTTTTTTGTGTAGTTCCCTGGACAGAAACATTTTCTTATGAGTTCCAGTCCCAATCCTCTAAGAAAATTTCTCCATGGTATTTTGCACTTGTTATTTTCTTTGTAAACAGTCAAACTACCTATGCCACATATGTTTAATACTGAGTAAAATATAAGCATTGGCCAACGCTTTGTGTTTTGAGTGACATTATAGTTGCTACATAACTCAACAACATCTACTCTGCCTTTGGTTTTGTTGTAGAAAGTTTCCATCTCAGGCTTCCGTTTCATCAAGTTTTTCCTATCAGTTTTTCCATCATGATGCAATGTTCACATCAGTAGTGCCAGTTTGTTTTTCTTTGCCATATATGAGGTCAATGTAAGTCCTCCTGAAGTGCAAAGATTGTACTATACAAGTCTCTGTTTTGAAATTGCAACATTTCATTCGGAATTTATGCTCTGTTCCTGCATATAGTTCCTGCGCTGGTCAAAGTGTGTTCTGTTATCAAATATAACATTGATTGGAAACTGGTAAACCAATTACTTAATGTCACATTCTGATTAGGTTGGGAGATGGGAGCAAGAACATCAGTTTATTACTATACAAATAAGGGACCAGGTGGCTGAGTTCCAGGACAAATTTCTAAATAGAAAGCATAATATATCTTTGCATCTAGAAGGACATACATTTT